GATCGGAAGCTGAAGTTGTCCTCCTACCCTCCCTCTCTGTAGTCTTTGGGACACGTGACAGATCCCAGAAGACTACGGGAACCACATTCACAAAGAGCAGTGCTTCTCGTGCATGCGCAGTGGTTTGCTGTGATGCCGCAAACTGTCACAGCTGGGTGCCCACACTGAAGATGCCGACACCCAGGGAAAAAGATGGCCGGTGAAACCAGTGGTGGTGAGAGGACACCGCTGGACCTACGGGACAGGTAAGTGGCTGTATTTTAAAAGTCAGCAGCTACAGTTTTTGTAGCTGCTGACTTTTTTTTTTTTTTTTCCAGGAGGAACTCTGCTTTTAAGTAATGACAATGTTATTGCAATCTAAACAGGACCAGAGTGGAAATGTAAAAATGCTTTGCTCTGGTCCATAAGGGTTTCACAGATATGAGAGTTTAAGTGGTAATATCTAACCTGAATAAAAAGAAAAAAAACTAAATATTTTTGTATTTTTTTAGTTCTAATCATAGTAATGAAATCATAACATTTTACTCAGCTGCAAGTTGTACAAAAATGCATGCTCACTCCCAAACCAGTACTGTATGTCCATATACACACAGAAGCACAACTCAACCTGTGCCCCATCCCCTGCTCCCTCCTTACTGGATAGTGATTGACAGCTGGAGCCAATGACTCCTGCTGATGTTTTTGAGCCATTGAGGAAGGAGAGAGCTTAGAAAGCCTCTGCTCCTTGTGCACAAAGCTGGATTGAGATCAGGCTTAGGTAAGTATAAAAGGGGGGCTGAGGGGGGAAACTGCATACTGAAGTTTTTTCCACCTTAATGCAGAGAATGCATTAAGGAAAAAAAAAAACTTCAGTCTTTAGTACCACTTTAACAGGGAAGAAATGTTTTAAAAAGGGTTCATGTTTTGACCAAATGCTGCAATCATTTACCTGATTGTGGGCCATTGTGGTCCAGGATGGGCTTCGTGGAGTTCAGGATAGGGTGGAGAGCTGCAGGGTAATGTTGGTAGCTGACAAACGAAGATGGAAACTTTCTCACCCACCCTCCCTGTTTTCTCACGGCTTTTATGTTGGTTGCCAAAGCAATCTGGCGTTTGTGATCTTTAAAGGATTAAAAATGTATGGTTAGTCTAATGTTAGGGAACCCATCCATGGTATGGTGTCCTCGTACGCATACTGGTTAACAGAGTTTGGAACATGGAGGTCTCTGCGCAATAGTTGCGATATTCGTCCTGAGCTGGTGTGTTGCAGCTTGGGGCCTATGTAAAAATAAGTAGTTCCACAAATACAAATATGTGTTTAGTGCATTCAAAGATCAGCAACCTTTTTGACTGTTTCTGTTTTAAATGAATGTTTTGGTAATTTGGTTATATAATATTGGTGGGATTTTTAAGGAGGTTTCAGGATGGCCTTGCAGCCAACGATTCTGAGTTGAGGACATCTTATTATATCTTAGTCATCAAGTTTTTTAACCACTTTAACTGCTTGGAATTCAGCTTAAAAGAATATCTTATGGACACAATCTAAAATCATATTGCAAACAGTGAAGCGTTATCAGTGCAAAGACCGCAAAACAATAAATTCTAAACACTAGATAGATGAATAAATATATACAGTGGGGATCGAAAGTTTTGGGCACCCCAGCTAAAAATTTGTATTAATGTGCATAAAGAAGCCAAGGAAAGATGGAAAAATCTCCAAAAGGCATCAAATTACAGATTAGACATTCTTATAATATGTCAACAAAAGTTAGATTTATTTCCATCATTTACACTTTCAAAATAACAGAAAACAAAAAAATGGCATCTGCAAAAGTTTGGGCACCCTGCAGAATTTATAGCATGCACTGCCCCCTTTGCAAAGCTGAGACCTGCCAGTGTCATGGATTGTTCTCAATCATCGTCTGGGAAGACCAGGTGATGTCAATCTCAAAGGTTTTAAATGCCCAGACTCATCTGACCTTGCCCCAACAATCAGCACCATGGGTTCTTCTAAGCAGTTGTCTAGAAAACTGAAACTGAAAATAGTTGACGCTCACAAAGCTGGAGAAGGCTATAAGAAGATAGCAAAGCGTTTTCAGATGTCAATATCCTCTGTTCGGAATGTAATTAAGAAATGGCAGTCATCGGGAACAGTGGAAGTTAAAGCAAGATCTGGAAGACCAAGAAAAATATCAGACAGAACAGCTCGCAGGATTGTGAGAAAAACAATTCAAAACCCACGTTTGACTGCACGATCCCTCCAGAAAGATCTGGCAGACACTGGAGTTGTGGTACACTATTCCACTATAAAGAGATACTTGTACAAATATGGTCTTCATGGAAGAGTCATCAGAAGAAAACCTCTTCTACGTCCTCACCACAAAAATCATCGTTTGAACTTTGTAAATGAACATATAGACAAGCCTGATGCATTTTGGAAACAAGTTCTGTGGACCGATGAGGTTAAAATTGAACGTTTTGGCCAGAATGAGCAAAGGTACGTTTGGAGAAGAAGGGGCACAGAATTTAATGAAAAGAACCTCTGTCCAAACTGTTAAGCATGGGGTTGGATCAATCATGCTTTGGGGTTGTGTTGCAGCCAGTGGCACAGGGAACATCTCACAGAGTAGAAGGAAAAAATTGATTCAATAAAATTTTAGCAAATTTTGGATGGTAAACTTGATGCCATCTGTGAAAAAGCTGAAGTTAAAGAGAGGATGGCTTCTACAAATGGATAATGATCCTAAACACACCTCGAAATCCACAGGGGATTACATCAAGAGGCGTAAACTGAAGGTTTTGCCATGGCCTTCACAATCTCCTGACCTCAACATAATTGAAAATCTATGGATAGACCTTAAAAGAGCAGTGCGTGACAGACAGCCCAGAAATCTCAAAGAACTGGAAGACTTTTGTAAGGAAGAATGGGCAAAGATACCTCAAACAAGAATTGAAAGACTCTTGGCTGGCTACAAAAAGCGTTTACAAGCTATGATACTTGCCAAAGGGGGCAGTACAAGATATTCAAACTCTGCAGGGTGCCCAAACTTTTGCAGACGCCAATTTTTTTTTTTGTTTTGTTATTTTGAAAGTGTAAATGATGGAAATAAAATCTAACTTTTGTTGACATATTATAAGAATGTCTAATCTGTAATTTGATGCCTTTTGGAGATTTTCCATCTTTCCTTGGCTTCTTTATGCACATTAATACAAATTCTTAGCTGGGGTGCCCAAACTTTCGATCCCCACTGTATAAATCTACTAAGAATATGATAAATCAATGAGTGGATCAAACCTTAATACAAAAAAATGTGCACTGAATCTTGTAAATGATTCAATAAATAATACCATAATCAATCCATATGTCACAATGATATTAAATATATTCATTCCAAAGTCAATAAGCTACCGGGACAGGCAACAGAGTGGGCAGCCTCTGGACAAGTAAGGGGGCCGCAGATAATTTCCATTGGCTCCTTTAGGGGTCATCGATCCACAGATGGTTTACCACTTGAGTTAAGACACCACAGATGACGCAGAAGTGTAAAATTGGCTGGCAGCAGGACAATTTTTAATAGCAAGGCTAGGCCTAAATTTACTGGAGACAAAGAGCACAGCCTGGGGCTTTATTACATAAATGAATGTACTGCAGAGAATGCAAAAGTGTAAAATTGGCCAGTAGCAAGACAGTTTTATTGAGACATGATAGGCCAAAATGTACTAAAGACAAAGAGCACAGGAAAGTGTTTTACTTATGAGATTGGAGATAATACATCACTGTAAAATTGGCCAGCAGCAGGACAATTATAATTAGCAAAGCTAGGCCCAAATTTACTAGAGACAAAGAGCCCAGGGTTTTTAAAGAGGAATCCTCACAGCAAGAAAAAAACTGCTATGGACCAGACATCAGATAAAAGTGACCTCTGACCTCAAATGAACCACAAAAAAATAGAAACAAAATCCTGCATATAATAACAATACTGTGCTGCTGTGGGCAGCACAGTGGCTAAAGGGTTAGCAATAGCACCTGGCAGCACTAGGGTCATTGGTTTGAATCCCAGCCATGGCACCACCTGCTTGGGAGTTTACATGTTTCCCTGTGCCTGCGTGGGTTTCCTCTGGGTACTCAGTTTTCCTCCCACAGTCCAAAGACATGCTGGTAGGTTAATTGGATCCTGTCTAAATTGGCCCTAGTATGAATGTATGTATAAATGTGAATTAGGAACCTTGGACTGTTCACTCCTTGAGGCTTAGGGACTGATGTGAATGTACAATATATATATAGTACATGTAAAAGCACTGTGTAAATTGACGAAGCTATACAAGTACCTAAAGTAAATAAAAAAAATAAAAAGGCAGCAATGGGATGGTTTTCCCAAAAAGCAATAAATCATTCTGTCCTTGTGCAATTTGACTGATTTCCTTGCAACAGCTTCCAATTCAATGGACTTATTTCTCTTCTGCCCCCCTTCCTTTTATAGTGAGGAGGTTGGCTTAATCAAAAGCCTCCTTATTGACACTTTTCAGCCTTTTGGTCAAAGTACAAAAGCCATGCAGTATATTATGGCTTTTCCTAGAGAAAAAAATGTTTATTTTTTTTTTAACTAAAATTCAACTTGGGTACATAGGAAGTGCAGTTGTTTGTTTTAATAAAGAGATCTAGATTTGGCAGTGAAATTATTTACTTTTTAATATTATATTGGGAAAAATATGATCCCTATTATAACAGTAAACGATGAACAGTCACAAAGAATTGTATAATTGTAAGTTCAATTATATTATTTAGTTTTAGTTTGAAAAATGTGGATATTGGCATTCAGAAAGGAAAACAATTTTGTTAATCTTCTACCTGCTTTTTGTATGCTTGCAAAATGGAACAAAAGTTTGCATATTCCACTACACATCAATGTGCTTTGGACATGTTTGTCACTTTGCCAAGTACACTTCGAACCAAAGCCTCGCTGATAGATTTGGCCACAGAAAAAAAACATGTTGATTCTTACCAGGGCGGTTTTCTTTTCCTGTAGCATCTCTGCATGTGTTGATTAATTCTTTCTCTATGGCAGTTGGAGTAAATTCTGATTTCTTTTCTAATAAAGACTGGTAAAAACTCTGCAGATACTCCTTACAGACTAAAGAAGAGAAAAAAGAAATGTTTTAATTGAAATTCACATAATTTGTAGCCAGTGACAGGCTCATAAAACTTCTCTAATATTTCTTCTGTAATGTTGAACTATTTCATCATTTGTAACATCTATTCCATACCAGGTTGTTTCACAAATGCACAGCACAGCAGGCAATATATTTTAAAGATAAATAGGTAGAGAACAATGTTCTTTAGGCTGGGTGCAGTGCGGAATTTGCAGCGTTTTCTGTGCGAAATCCGCACCGCATCAGAATCGCACCGATGCTGGTGTGTATGTTAAGTTAACAACACCCCGAAATCGGTCTGCAAAACGCGGTGCAATGTGCAGAATTGGATCGCATAGGTGTGAATACCCATGCGATCCAATTTTAGTGCGGACCCAAAAAAGGGTCCTGCGCCTTTTTGGCGCAGGTGCTGTGCTATTTAAGCGCATCACATGTGATGTACCGTGTGAACATAGCCTTAAGGCTAGGTTCACACCTGTGCAGGTGATTGCCACTGTGGGACTGCACCTGTTCCCCCACCACCACAGCCACCCGCACAGAAAAACATGCCACAGCTCAGGAGATGGTAATCCTAAAGGTACCCCCATGCTCTAGAAACCGGAGCACGATTTCCTGCACTGGGAACTGCACTACACTTGCGGTTTCCGTGTGGACAGAGTTTTTAAAAATGGTGCAGGGACCTTTTCGCTGAATTTTCAGAAGGTACAGCAGCCCATTGAAATGAATGGGCTGCCACGCCCATGCAAGATGCACAAGTGTGAACCTAGCCTAAGGCATTTCCCCAATGGCCTGAGGATAACCTGTCTGGTCTAGTACTCCACATTCCACCAACTTTTACTGTAAGAAAAGAGAGGAGAGAGGCGCCTCTAAGTGTAAACTGTAAAAACTTGATTTATTGCACATGAAAGATAGCAACTTACAGGAGGGTAGATTAAAAAGGCACTTCAATAGCCATCAATGGCGTTTTAGCCACGGTGAACAGCATTGTGTGCAATCCAGGATGATTATCTGTCATTTGTCAGTGTCAGGCATGAGTGGCCAGCAAGATAGCATGTGCTAGGACTGCCATCTCACAGAGCATGCTCAGGAAACGCGTTGCTACGACGTCCCGCCATGTCATTGCACACACGCTGCACTCCACGATGTGTTCCAAGCCTCAGTGCCAGACCTCCTCGATCTTGCCAGCCGCTCATGCCTGACACTGACAGATGACAGATCATCATCCTGGATTGCACATAATGCCATTCACCGTGGCTAAAACCCCATTGATGGATATTGAAGTGCCTTTTTTATCTACCCTCCTGTAAGTTGCTGTCTTTCACGTGCAATAAATCAAGTTTTTACAGTTTACACTTAGAGGTGCCTTTCTCCTCTCGTCTTACATGTATCCTTCTGGACCCAAGCGTCAATCCAGTGAAAGACTGCCATAAGTGACCAGGACTGCAACAGCATTGTTGGCTACACACCTGTCAGTGATTGTTTGACAGAACATTTTCTAATTATTTTTCTCATCTCTATAACCCTATTGGGTTCCATCTGTATGGTATTTATATACAAGTGTTTTCCTTCATATTGATGGTTTTTGGTACTCCCATTTGTGTTTATTCCACCTTCAGATTATATTTAGGTTGCGCTCTTTTTCTTTTGTTTTTTTCACCAACTTTTACTGTGCAACACTGCTCAGAGCTGCATAGTCTTTCTTCCATAAGTGTCCCCACCAGGTTATCTTCATATTGCAGCTCCATTCATTCCAAGGCCCCCCGTGAGTACTGCTCCCCTTAGCAATGAATAGGGATGTGGCAAGAATGCACAGGATGAAGAGGCCCTAGCAGGGATGCTTTAGAAAGAAAGGCTTGCAGCACCAGGTAGGGCCATGATTGCTGGAATGGGGACAGAAGGAAGTATAGGACCATGTTACCTGCACACAGGAGGGTGGGTCACAACTTAAAGAACAACATCTACCAAAGGTAAAATTATTCTTTAAGGTTTATCTAAAACTATCTAAAAAAATTTTTAGGACTGGATAGAGTGGTGTCAGGTTTATGGCGAGGAAAAGTGATGAGAAATCCAAAATCTTACAGTTGCCACTGGAACTTAGTTTTAGTAAAAGCAAGAAATTTTATTACTCCAGTGTCCTCTTTTATTTTCAAGCATACTCAGGTACGATTTGTACTTATGGGAGCCATTACAAAGCAGTCTCATTATTCTATTGAAGTTTTTATTTGCTTTACTAAAAAAACAGCAGGCAAAATGGACTAACTGATTCTGCAAGCACCTGGGAGACACTACACAAAGTCTTTATCCCCCAATAACACAAAGCAGTCACATGGATTCTTTTTTTTTGGCAGATCAGCCATCAGGTCTAATTTTTTATTACAGAAGCATAGGTGATACCATATGTGGGTTTATTCCATAAACTGCAAGAGCTGATCACAAATGCTAAAAACCAATCAGAATCGATCATCTAAAAATCTTCAATATAGTAAATTATTTTTGTTATGGGTTATTACACTTCTGTCTTTGAGCTGTTATTTGAATAATCCAGGTGGTGTTACCGGTAATGACCAATCAAATAATTTTCCAGCCGAAGATAACTATTAGTTGAGAGTTTGATTTGGACATTTATTTTTATAAATTAATAGTTATATACTTTTAAGTGGTACTCCTTTGAATATTTTTTTTAGCTTTGGTAGAGAAAGCAAGGGTTAGAATCCCTGTCAAGCCTTAACAGCTGTCTTTGTCCATGTTGGGTATAGGCATGGCTTTTACTCAGTATCTCTCTTGCTCTGCTCGTGTATCTCGTGCTGGGAACCGAGTTGGGCTGGGCTCGTGGAAGGGCAGTATGAGGATGAATCTCAGGGGAAAAAAATTATAAAAACAACAGAGCATATACTGTAAGTTCTGCTTATAGCTGCTCACTTAGCAAAAAAAAAAAAAGTGACTTTAATATCACTTTAACACTTGACTAGATTTTTGGAATCAGGTTTTTCAAAGCAAATTTTCTTATCATATGAGATGTTCTTTGAACACTAGACAAAAGCAAATGAAAAAGTCATAACTGCAAAACCCTGATTTACAGTACTTCCAAGTGACAGGAAAATATGTTTCCTGTGTAGTGACTATAGAAAGTTCACAAAGTCATTATTTTATGACTGTAGAATGCAGTGCTGTAATACATCTGTGTGACATTAGTGTCAGTCCTCTTGTGTTTCTATTGCCAGTAATAATTAAGTACCTGCCAATATTACTGTGATGTTATAAGTATCAGTAAGGTACTGTACTTCACTGGATCTAAGCAGATCCAAACAGCTTTGCTGGTGAAGAATATTAACATATGCAGTTAATACTGGTTTGAAGACAAGTCATCTCTTTACAGATCTAGTAATAAATCTGTCAATGCAGATAGGTGGAGGCTGCCATTTCTGACCTCCTTAACGAGGTCTTCAGTGCTGTCTGAGACACTGACCTGGCAGAGTAACCACATATAGCAAGTTAAAGGAAAAATTAAAAGTCTTTATCTGTATACTTGTTCCTGGTCATCAACTTAAAGCATTTAAGGCAGAGGGTCTCAATCTAACAATGACATAGCATTTTTAGGAGAGGTCAGAATGACACCTCTCATGACAGTTTTCCTTTAAGTGTGGACCACACAGTGTTCTTTGTACTCTTGTAAGCCCTCTTCATCTATGTGCCCCCTTCTGCGCATTCTAGCAGCATCTATGCTAAAGAAACTGATTTTGGGAAAATTAGGCTCATGCTGTTTTTTCACAGGCATTTTTTAAAAATGGGGACAACAGAAGAATATGGGCAAATGGACATCGGCACAGAAGCATATAGTTAGGTTTGGGAGAGCGTGTGACATGGTTATTTAAAGACAGGAGACACTTGTGGGAGACAGGAGCAGAGCATTGTCACCCCATACCACAAAGTGCCTATATACCGTATTTTTCGCTACATAAGACGCACCTGACCATAAGACGCACCTAGATTTTAGAGGAGGAAAACAAGAAAAAAAATTCTGACCCAATAGACTGCAGACATAGTACAGGAGATAACCAGAGACTGCAGACATAGTACAGGAGATGACCAGAGACTGTGGACACAGTACAGGAGATGACCAGAGACTGCGGACACAGTACAGGAGATGACCAGAGACTGCGGACACAGTACAGGAGATGACCAGAGACTGCGGACACAGTACAGGAGATGACCAGAGACTGCGGACACAGTACAGGAGATGACCAGAGACTGCGGACACAGTACAGGAGATGATCAGAGAATGCGGACATAGTACAGGAGATGACCAGAGACTGCGGACATAGTACAGGAGATGACCAGAGACTGCGGACATAGTACAGATGACCAGAGATTGCGGACACAGTACAGGAGATGATCAGAGACTGCGGACACAGTACAGGAGATGACCAGAGACTGCGAACACAGTACAGGAGATGACCAGAGACTGCGGACATAGTACAGGAGATGACCAGAGACTGCGGACATAGTACAGGAGATGACCAGAGACTGCAGACACAGTACAGGAGATGACCAGAGACTGCAGACCTTTAGGGAGGGAGGGAGGGAGGGCGAGTACCCGAATTTGACAGGTACCCGCTCCCACTTCCTCAGAGTTTTCCTCCCACCTCCTTCCACGTAGTCTTGTGGGACACGTGACAGGTCCCACAAGAATACGGGGCCATTCACAAAGCACAGTGCTTCTCGCACATGCGCAGTGGGCACCCGGCTGTGAAGCCGCAAGCTGTCACAGCCGGGTGCCCACACTGAAGATGCCGGGGAGAGAAGACGGCTGGTAAAAGCAGGACACTGCTGGACCAAGGAACAGGTGAACAGGTAGGACTGAGGAGCAGGTTCTTCTGCACAGTAGCGGCCGGCCCGGTATTGTAACACGGCGGTGACGGGGGGAATACTGGGCCGGCTGCTCCATATTCGCTCCATAAGACGCACAGACATTTTCCCCCAT